CCAAATATGGATGAAATCGGTTCACAACCACGTCTGAAATCTCGATTATCACTTTATCATGCGAGAGTATAAAATGTTCGGTGACACCCGAACTTAGAAATTTTGCTTAACAACTCAATCCGTGCTTTCGCAAAAAAGTCAAATTCTTGCAAAATAAGATGAACTATGGCAATATACATATAATGAGCTCAAGAAACTTCTTAATTGGACATCGAAAAAACTGAAAACATACCAATACATTTTACTTCTAACTCGAGTTGAGCAGTACTTACAAACAAAATATTGATAGAAATAAACTTTTTTTAAAATTTTCTATATATTTCTTTTTTGGATTTTTAAACGATTCTTTCGAATATTACAATACTTAAGCTCTGTATAACTTACATTTCAATGCGTAGGCTTTCACTTACTAAGGAGCTTTCATTTATGTGAACTGAGAGAGAGAAAGGTATTTATGTGCTCTGAAGAAATCCTCATGTCTTTAACGCCATCTATTTTGAAACTGCTTTCTTAGATTTCGGTAATATCTTCTATGTCTGTTTAGGAGGTTAAACGAAACTTGAAACTTAAACCCCTTAAAAGGGGTACACATGAAACGAATACCAGATAAATTTAGGATTATATTTAAGTATACAAAATTTTATCGAGTATTGTTTGTTCCCGACTTGATATCGAAATTGGCGTAAAAGATCCTGAAAAGAAACACTATTTCACTCGACAGAATTTCTTACTTAAAATAGACTATAAGGAACATTCAGGAACATTAGCCATGAAATGAGGTCTTAAACAACTTCTCGCCATTTCTGCAAATTTTTTGTTTATTTTCGCGCTTAAAATTGTCGAAAAATATTTTTTAATCATGTTCTTAGTTTCAAGTAGTTTTATATGCTCTTTAGACTTAAAGCTGAATGATAAAAATTGCTTTACTTCTTTCCCGTGATCCCGTACGACAATTTTGAAACTATGGTTTCGAGAAAATGCCGTTTAAACTTTGCGGTGAAAGATCGGCAGGCTGGGCGCCAACCACTTACAAGTGACTTATTATATCTTCTACAATTTTTAAGATCGGCTTTTGAATGTCAATAATATTCTTATGTTTCCGATTAAGACAAAAAAGAAAACGATTTTTTGAAACGTCTACTGTTATATCCCTCTTAATCCTTGCAGAATACAGTTTCAATGTTTTTTTTTATTAGGGAGAGCTTATTAAGCTCTCCGGGATGGGATAGATACCGAGAGTTGAAGAAGGAAGCGAGACGCATTTGCAGACAGAAGAAGAAAGAGGCCGAAATGCGTGAGTACGAAGAGCTTGATAAGCTGGCCGACAGGGGTAATACTCGAAAATTCTACGAAAAAA